TATAAACTTTTATCTAATTCCATCATACTTTTTATATTAGAAAAGAAAAATTCCAAAAACTTTTGTTACACACTGTAGATACTATATCTACTGTATATTGATTTAAATTCAAGTCCAATGAACGCTGTTTATTATATGATGATAGTGATGCTAAAACTTGGACGTAATAAAATATGCAGACTGTCATTTATAAGTGAGTTTGCCAGAACCCAACAAGGACAATGATGTCGGTAAATTTAGACGATATGCAAAATAAAAATGGCTTGAGAGTCACAACAAACTCACAGGCGTATATCTAAGGCGGGATATGACTAAGTACGTATGTGTTGGATGCATTTAGTCTCGTGACGCAAGAAAATTACACTCTAATGACGTTTGACGCTTTAACCATTGACTCATCTAAACGACGAATTATATCACAAATGTATCTTATATCGTTTTCAGCCCTTTGTTTTAAAATTCTTTAGCTGTCTCAAACGCTTGTCTTCACTTGTGTAGATTTTGGTAGAATTCACTAGAATTCCCATACTTTTAGCTCTTCTTTGATCTTTTTTGACGTCAGTTAAATACCGTATAGTTTCGAATATAAGCACTCCCCGAAAATAAGCACCTTCCCCAAAATTTTTATTTCCAAAAATAAGCACCTACTCCACAATCCTCCTAAATGTTTCTATAGTATGTGACTGTTTTATGTGATTTGTATTACACGAAGCAAAAATAAGCCCCCCATAGTTCTTATTACGGTATATGATAGTTCTGCTTATTATTATGAGTGGGCTAAATACAAGCGTAACGTGATCAGTAGCCAGACTTTATTGGCCGCAAATGGAAAAATTGGATGTATGATCATATGGTTTGGCTCATTACCACCAAAATTATTAGCTTTGTTGAATGTAGCACAGCCCAACTGATTATAAAATTGATCAATAAATATAGTCCTTATTTCTATCAGTCCATAAACATGTCGTCGTTAAACCTGTTCAAGCTCGTTCACGACAAAGGTAACTATTTTGTTTCCTAAATAAAGTTTTATGACTATACTCACGTCTATTTTACTGTATACAGCGCAAGAAAAAAAGCTTCGCAAACTTGCGAAAATTTGTGGTACAGGTAGCTATTTTCTTGCACGTTGATGTTACGGTCTATACGATGTTAATTGATATTTTACGTTAGTTCCTGCGAGTCTCCCACCAACTTTGCAAAATCCTGATATTGTCGCTCCGCTTCTCAAATATCTAAAAGACAAAGACTCTCCCGAAATGCCAGCACTCGTGATTGATTGGAACGACGCGGGCTTCAATGATACCCCCACTCAAGATTGTCGGAATGGTACCGCGGGGCAAACCAAAGCGGCTATTATTGCAAGCCTTATAGCGCACGGAGCAGGCGACTATTTGGGTCTGAACCTAATTTTCGTTTTTCGAAAAGGCATTGAAATTAGTACTTGGCTTAGGTATTTGAGAAGAAACGTTGTGTGGTACGAGATAATGTTATACATATGTATTTTAGATACTTTGGGTATCAGCTAATACATTTTTTCTTAAAGGACAAGAACACAAATGGGTGTTCCCGACATCTGTCATGCAATCTTGAGAATAAACAAGATTGCAGAACACTCGGTCGTTGCAGAGATTGAGGATTGTACATATCATCTGGACAATTAAATTAAGCTTTTGAGCGTTTTACCAAATCTATTTGACACAATGTTGACGAAAAGTAATGTCCGGTGACCAGAAACCTGAAATATATCGTTTAAAAGAGCGAGGTGTTAGCCGAGTTACAATAGCAAAGCAATTCGATATTTCCGAGGCAACCGTTTCAAAGTTTGTTTGTTCACAAACATTAAGTATTGCATGACGAGAAGACATTCAACAACTTACTGAGCATTGAACCAAATAATAAGTGTAGTTGTTTAGTCAGGTTACTACATAATTAAACGGCATGACACTTGCTATGTTAAACAACTTAGTACCAGTACATTTCATATAAATCGTTTAGCAGTAAAATATCAATTAACAGTTTATGTAGTATATATAAACATCAATGTGCAAGAAAATAGCAAGTTTGCTAAGCTTTTTTTCTTGCGCTGCATACAGTAAAATAGTCATAAAATTTTTTATTGAGGAAACAGGATAGTTACCTTTATCGTGAACGAACTTGAAAAGGTTTAGCGACGGCATGTTTATTGACTAAATTCTCTGAGTACTAATCAACTGCTTGTAAGCAGAATTATCATATATTTGACGCGAAAAGCATATTGTTACGGCCGGGAATTAATTGGGGAGCGATTTATCTTTCGCGTAGGTGTATTCGCCGACCGGGGGATGTTACCAGCACTATCGCCCTTACTACGATAGTTGTATGATTAAGACTGAATTAAGCCTACCTACAAGTGACCTTAATTATTATGCGCGCTTTTTACTCCCTATCCGAGTTTCTGAATACAAATAAGGGTACCTCTAACAGAATAATAACAACAACTATTCTATTAAAGAATCGAAGGGGAATAATGCTATTTTAGATAAACAGGGCTATCTTCGATTTATGACTAGTCGGTCTCTGTCACTTGTCTTCACTAAACTAATTAAACAATAATCGTCTCGATAATTAATTATGAACTCTCGTTCCGCTATTCACGTAATTGATCCGCGGACAGCTTACTAGTTTGATCAAATCAATGTTATTCCGTTACAACTTAAGTGAGCCGTTTATTGGAGTGTCCGGTCTAATAATTAATTATTTCGACAAAGGATTTCTACTAAGATCAGTAGTATTATTTATTTCAACATTTCGAACATCATTAAGATTTGACGATGGAAAAAGAGCCACTTATATATCTTTGAGCGTCACTGAAAAATCGAAACGCTCTTATAGAAGAACAATTAATTATGCTAATTATAGCGTTTGTACTGTCTCTGATTTTTCGAACCGTTTTTGCGCCGCGCTCACTGATTTTTCAAAACGCTATTACAGTATCATATTTGTGAAAACCGAACTATCATGTGACTCACTTATCTGATTCATCAGATTTCAGCTCGCCGTAACAATATTAATATGGTAATGCAAAGCGATGTTCCCACACCTGTTGCACGACTAGTCATGCATGTATATTTTTCACCCTAGCCTACTCGCCAGTGTTTACATACTCACTATTTACAAATAATGACGGGCCAACTCTTATTCTCTACTAGTCTTATCTCGCCTGAAGTACAAGCAGATCTTCCACCAGGATACAAAATTAGACCTTTGGCAAGCGATGATTATGAACGCGGATTTCTCGATACGTTAACAGTGCTTACTGAGATTGGAGACATTTCGAAAGCTCAATTTTTAGGTGAGGAAAGGATCGGTAGAAAGATTGTTCAGCAATGAGATGGAAATATTAGACGCGGCCATTACTGAAATTGCTGTTATCATCGTTGTCTGTTCAATAGAACGGTTTAATTATCTGAAGCAGCATAACCATGAGTATTTCACTATTGTGATATTATCTCCTGATGATCGTGTTGTTGGTGCTGGAACCGTCTTTGTTGAGAGGAAGTTTATAAGAAATACAGGACTTGTATGTTGATATATCAACTGTCTCTGTCTAATGCGTGTTTCAAATTGTAAGTATTTGTAGACTCATCGGAGACTATTTTTTTTTCTATTAGGTTGGGCATATTGAAGATATTGCAGTCAATAAAAATCAACAAGGGAAGAAGCTTGGACTCCGGTAAGATAATCCTTTGCAGTATTCGATGCGGTTGGAATGCTAGATGATGTTTGCTGAGTCTGTCTATAACAGCGTAATCCAGGCATTGAAATACATCGGTGCTAACAGGGGCTGTTATAAAGGTGCGGAAAGTCTATTAATGGATTATTGACGATAGTATTGAGTTCTTATATACAAAGTCCTGGTGCCGCGGCTAATTTAATACTAATAAACGTATTCATTGTACTTCATCTCACATACTTGGTTCTGACAGTTATCCTCGATTGTTCAGAAAAGGTAAACTCCCTGTTTTGCAATTTCCCTTTTTCTTTGTTTCCTGGTGACAGATAATTAAGATCTGAATACTATCACTTTTTAGAATGTACCGTTCTACGAAAAGTGCGGGTAAGTATTCATCCATTATCAACCTTATATCATACCTACTATCCGTTTTATATGATCCTGCTTAACTCAACTGGTGTCTCATCTCTCTTCAACCATAGCTTCACACGTAAGGAAGTCGAAATGGCATGGTACTGCAATGAGGCCCCAAAAGCTAAGCTGTAATATCCGGTTTATCCTTCCAGAAAATAAGTACTCCATGTTTTCGCAATTCTAAATTTGCTGCTTTCACTTAACTATTTATGATTCAACTTGGTGCGAAGGTTGTTACAGTATGTAATTATATTTTATATTAAACGGGAAATGCATAAACCATATGGACGTTTATTTAGAGATTTTACAAGACGGTGGCTATTGGTTACAAGTTTACGTGGTGGTTGGGATAATGACTAGACCTCATATCGAATGAGAAATTTGAGTGGGAGATTCGTGTTGGTAAATACTGTTGACAGTTAGCTGAATGTCAGACCATCGACCTTTGCACATATGTACAATGCCGACGCCGACTTCGATTTTATTCTTCAATCATGAGCCAACAAAAGCGAAGATCCCATATTGTGCATGCAGAAAATAGCAATAAAATGAAAAGACACAAGAAAAAATTAAGCACCGCGGAAAAGATTGAACTGTGCAATATCAAGCAAGAAAATAAGAACAAAGCTTTAGCGACTCAATTCGAAATTGATGGATCGACTGTATATGGGATTTCAAAGTAAAAGACAGTTCGATATTAACAATTTTTTCGCGCCTGCGGACAGTGTAGTTTTAGTATAACTATTCTACAGTAATAGTGAAAAAAGTACACTAGTGTATTGAATAATCCCACGTGTTTTGTCGGGGCGAGAAAAATGTTGATAAACAAGCGATATGAGAATATCTAATCTAAATAAAGATCGTTTTTTATATTAATGCAATAATGCGTGTAGACTGAAGAAGTAGTATAATCTGACAAATAAACTTGGGGGGGTGAAATTTCAGAGAAAAAGGAAACATCTAATATATTAATATTGTTATACAGCTCATCGTCATATAATTTGGACGCGATTCTCTGCATCAGAATATTCTAGCCATACAGACTGTTTTCCAGGTAAGCCTCATGCGCTACTTTGTTTAATTTTTTTTTCATGCTAATTTTTCCTCAAGCCTATTGGAACCGAGACCCGTCAAAATGGGGTGGTGGGACGTGTTATTTTTCAAAGAGATACAAGCATGACGCTCACAATTCACTTGTAGCCGAACTTGAAACTCTCGCACGCGAATTACCGATTTCTAATGCTGCTCATCACCAAGCAATTATCATGATACATTCATATTTATTAACGTCTTCTTTCCCGTTTATGAGAACTGCAAACAAGATTCAGCAAACATAGAGTTATGGGCTAACTATAACAACTGAATAGTAATAGCTATGGCATGTGTGTTTCGTCACAGAACTTTAGAAAATTTTAACCAAAATACTGGAATTACCACTGGATATGGAGTGATGCTTTTTCAGCATAGAATTGTACCTATCAAAATGTTCAGTGACTGCATACAATGGGTGTAACATGTGACAGACTCCTAGTAACTATGCAAATAATTCCATTTAATGATACTACTCTTAAAATTTGCTAATACAAAAAACTCGTCGCCCAGTTGCCATTTTGAGCGTCATAAACTCGGAATTTTAAATACACCGTTTTGCAGTTTTAGCTTGCTTATTATTATTCAAACGCAAACTTATAATTTCTCCGGGTTTACCTTATCCGAAACGTATCTGAAAGAAGTCGTACCCGAACAACGTAAACAACCTGTGTAATAGTAAATTACTATTAATATTTTTCGGTTTCAAAATAAATAGCTGTCGACTACGTTTCACCGAATAGTCACATGGGATATCCCTTTCGACAAGTTGACGTTAAACTAAGTTACTAAGATATTAATATTTAATTCGTCTTGTGGTAAATGAGTTTAGGTTTCAAGGAAGAAAAGTTCAAAATTTTAATTACAAATCGAGTGTACATGTTTATATTAAGACATTGTCCCAGGGTTTATGTATTGATCGAATATAACTTATTGTCTAGCTGCACGATTTGTATGCTGTATTTACGGATCACTAATTTTAGTACCTCTCACCTAAACGGGGATTACAGCAATGATGTTGTCACTAGCCTATCGAATCGTTAAATCTGGCCAATCAAGACTTTCTAAGTGTTGCAAATCTGGTCTGCAGTACACAAACAGTCCAGTCTGTCTGTGTTCGAGTAGCTTGCAGCACATACCGCTGCAAGTTTTCTGTGTTACGTGGCAAATCAATCAAATCGCGAAACCTATATGGAAGGACAATGTAATTGAGATGCATATTAATAAATTAGTGCAGGTTGGACAGAGTAACACAAGCGCAAGGAAAAGAAAGTCACATCGATAAAAGGAACTAAAATAGCAAGTCACTGTTACAAGGCTGAAGGGAATAACTTCTCACCTCCCCGTCAATGTCGGAAATTTTCCAAACCTTTTGAATGCGTGCGAAATTTGCGTTCTGGCGGAACGTCTCACAAAACGCATGTACAGCACATAACAAACTTTATTGAGAGAGATTGATGAACGATCCCTCTTATTTTTCTATTCATATTCAGTCTATAAATAGATGTTCCGTAAGATCAAAATGCGGAGAACGAGAGAACGTTCCTGCAGGTTAGGGTGGAGAATCAATATTTGAGACCAAAGAGGGGGCAAAGATCAGCAAACACACGTTTGAAAATAGTTTGTGCATCATTGATGGCTTTTATTACAAAAATGCGAGAAAAAAAATTTTAAACTAGTGCTGCTTATTAATAGGCTTCGCTATTCAGAACATTGTAAAGTCGTTGCTAACACACATCTTAAGCTTGTTCTGATTATTAAAAAGCTGAACAGCATGAGCATGTATGTTACCTTCCTGAAACGCTCTCCAACTACTTATTGGTTAAATTGTGTTAAGCAAGTCTTATCGGCTTGAATCCGATCTTAGCCTCGATTTGTCTATGTACTTCTTCCTCTTCTGGCTTCTCGTTACTTTCCCAGCCGCATCCACTCTTCTCATGTGACAGACAAATATACACATTTTTGCTAACAGCGTTCGCATCCTCTTCATGTACAAAGTGGACAGCATTTGTCAAATGGCAATTGGGACAAGTATATGTGTCGTTGTTTAATGGAGTTATTACATCGTGTGTACCGAGAAGAAGGAAGGATTGTAATGGTTTGAGGAGGAAGGATGGGGAAACAGAATCTGGATTTCGGGTGATGTTTGTAGTTTTGGTGGGAGTTTCTTGGACAAAGATAGGCTGAAATTTGGTTTCATTTAATATCGAGGCTAGATTGAAAGAGAGGGAATTAGTGAGTAATATTCAAACAGTGTGTTTATGAAGGTATCGTCTTACTTACGCGACGCATTCTTCTTAGTACTGGAAACTCGACGCAGGCTTCGATTAGGAAAAACTTTTATCGTGTTGATCTAATAAAATAAATTCCATCAGTTCTTACACTTTAATATAGGAACGCCTTGGATGTACGATTCGCTAATATTACTTCTTCGTCAGCTTACCACAAGTTTTACAGTCTTGTACATTTTTCCCTTCGTAGTATCTCCTGTCATACTTGCAAGTTTTCTTATAATGCTTATTGAGAAAGAGTGATATAATGGAGAGGATGTGGAATATCCCAGTAGATGACAGAAAGGGGAGAACGGCTTTTTATGTTATGTCAACAAACGTTGTACTAAATAAAGTTACTCCTGACTAATTAATACATTATCGGTGAAGACCCACAGCCGCAAACTAATAACTTCCTTCATTGATGCACAAGCCAAATTCATTGGTCATAGTTAATTCGATTGAACACAGATGGTACATTCCATAGGTTAATGCCGAATCGTATGTTTCACAGTAAAATGTCAAAGGTAAATTTTGAACCCGGTTTTTTGTAAGGTGATCTCCAAATGGCGTCGAAAACGCCGCAATCTGTTCTTATGACATGATGCAACAAAGTGTCTGAGCGATTTTTCTAGGACATGCCATGTTCACCTGATGTTTTCTGACCTTTCTCGTCGGGTAAATTTATTTCTGTATGTCGATCTATGATACAACAAAGACCAAGACCTCTTAGTTACGTCGTCGTTATAGTATTTTACTATTGTTAAATATTGTGTCACAGTAATCGTACTTATGACATCATACGACAATCTTGTCAATCACACGATCGATCGTGTGTTATCATCTAACGAAAATAGATATTCGCGTAAGTGTATCAGACATTAACAGAAAGCGGAATGTAGGCTGTAAAGCCCTTGTAGAAGCATTTCTAAGGCATGAGATTAATAGTGTTACAGTACCAACGACACTATGTGCTGTGCAACTATAAACATATGTGTATGTGTGATCGCGAGGTGAAAGGGATGTTTATACACAGTGAAAGTCGATACAACGGTTCGTTGATAACGGATTTCGCTTAGAACGGATTTTTTCCCCTTGGAACCAGAGTTTTACTAATTAAATATAGCGGATTTTACTATTAAATTGTTGTAGTGCGGTTCCGGATTTTTTCGATGATGAGACATTGTTCAATAAAACGGAATTATAACGGAGTCCGTTATAGTTAATAGTAGACCGCACTAAAGTGGTCGAATTCGTTATAATTTGTAGTAAATCCGTACTAAAATGGCCGAATCCGTTATAATCCGTTATAACAATATTAATAGCACAAATTTAATAAAGATCAAGTTGTCAAATATTTTTGCTTCTTGTTAATATTACTAACATACAATATTATGGGAGAAAAAAGGACAAGGGTTTCGTTAACGGCTTTAAATTTGCAAACGTGCCTCTAATGCAAACGTTCAACAGAAAGCTCTAGCAAAAGAATATGGTATTTCACCCCAGCAAGTTTCAGATATTCTTAAGAACAGAGATCAATGGCTATCTATTGAAAGCGAAACAACTTTAAAAGAATACGTAGAGTAACATATGAAAATATAAAAGATACTTGATCTCGGCTTGCTTTGATTTTCGCTGAAGAGACGAGAAATTACATAAACTTCTCGAGAAGCTATGAAACGATTATGATATAGACGCTAGTTGCATATACAATTTGAACAAATTGAAGAAAGCAATAAATAGTCCTAAAAGCATAATGAAATTGATTATTGGCAAATATACTTTACTTTGTACATTAACAAACTTAATAAATATCAAGTAGTAAATATCAAACATTTTCTGAGTCTGCTATATCGGATTGTCACGATATAACGGATTTCGTGCCTGTCCCGAGGAATCCGACTTTCACTGTGTAGAACAATTTTCTCATGGGGATCTATGTATGACTCATTTCTAATGCGATAAATAATATTGGATGCAGAAACGACTTCACTTGTGAGCAGAATTATATTATTATTATCCCAGCAGCATTTTTATAAATATATAAATTCTACTGATCTGGCATTCATGCAACTTGCACTAATACTAATAGTGGGCTGAGTTGCATTGCAAGCTAGTAAAGGCTTCAATAAAAAACGAGGACTTGGAAGTAAGATTGATATTGCAACAGAGCAAACCAAAGGGAATAGAAAAGTTTATTAATGAATATGTTAGAATGTATCAGATGGGGCATGCTGCAACAAAACCAGACAAAGTAAAAGTGAACATTCTATTATGTGACATAAAAGAGATAACTAATTTGACTAATAACATTTTGACTATCTCAGTTGTAACTCATACAAATTTATATAAGTTACAGTTTTAAGTTATATCATGCCAAGATGCAATTAACCAAGTACAAGTTGATTAAGATAAACTTTACTTGAATTACAATATGTTTAATATAGGATTATGTCTATATAAAAATGTAAGATGAAACCAATTCATATTAAATCTACCATGGAACCAAAGAATTACAGTACTATTCAAAGTATTCTCAAGGAGAAAAATTGCTCCATTACCATATTTTTTAAAATCAATGATACCAAAATTCTTCTAGATAAAGAAAGAATTACTTATTATTAGATAACCACCTGAGAAGGTTGATTTCTTGAGCAATGACATCAGACAGGACTGAATATGAAGACTTGAATACTTTGACCACAGAATAAGAATTCTTCAGTGTCCAGTTCCTTTATAGACATTACTTGTGGCACCATATCCAAGATGCTCCAGGTTATTCTTGACAAATAGTAATAGGGCCAAGAGATATCAGTGGTAGTAGGGAAGGATGCAGCCCACAAAAATAGTTGTTGGAGTGCAACAATGGGTGTGGACAGGCTTCTGTGATTCCAATGAGTGGGTATGAGCTCATCAAATGTACAAATATGAATTGGTGTGGCTTTTTCTGCTGACATATGCACAAGAATAAGATCCTTGGGTGTGATGAGGGCTCCCACAATGTCTCTGTGTATGTGGTATCATTGTGCATCAAGTGTGATGCTAAGGTAGTCCAGAAGTTGCATCATTGAATCAGGAGACTGAGGGTTGTCCATCTTCACTTCCAAGCAAGAGAGAACAATGTACTTGTGTGGAGCCAAAGATGGAGGGAGGACTGAGATATCAGACTTCAACCCATTCATATGGCCATTCTTTCGATAATATGAGATCTTTATTGACAACTACAGAAAACTGCTAAAGCTGTTTTTCGACAGCAGTACATAGACAGAACCTATGGAACTAGCTATGACTAACTGAATCAATAAAGAAATGTGGCACATGGTATGGCCATTCTTTCTAGTTACTTTGACAAGCATCTTATGTGTGGCACAAAGGGATGATTGAAGCCAAGGTCCTAGCCAATCAGTAAAGTCATCCTCATTTTAAAGACACTATGTCTCAATGCAGAGGCTAATTTTTCAAGAGCATTGATACAAATTACACTGTTAGTCACAGGAGGCAGCCATTTTTGCTTAAAGAAATCTTCAAGTGTGAGCCCATGATGGATGAGTGGCTTATAATGTTGAAGGAAGCATTGTGAACAAGTCAAGGTGCCCTCCTAGACAACATTGTTGTCATGACTAGATAATAACAATAGTAATTATGATTAAGTAGCAAAAGTGGATATATTGGTAATAATAAAGTGACTAAAAAGATTTACCTTCTTGAAGACCCTCAAGAGTTTCTACAAATGAATAAAGTGCAATAGATTTAATATTCATTCATTGACTATTACTATATTCTAACCCCAGCAGAAGCATACCATTTAACTTTGTTATATCCTGAGAATGTAGCAAGTGATGTAGTGCAATAAAATGGATACATCAGATAGAACAATGTGAATTTTTTAAAGTTGAGGCGGCAACGCCTTTCCCCCCGCATAACTCGCGGATTTGAGTGGCCACTTGGTTAAATGAAAAGTCCGAGTCCAGCTCAGATTTCGTATCGAATAGAGTTTTAAAATTTTTCCAACATTAAACAACTAATGTCGCTCACTGAGCGACTTATTGGGTTTAGATTTTACTTTGATTCAACTGCTTGAATGATTATTTCAAGCTTTTGATTTACGTCGCAGAGTTGAATATACGTTATATAGTGGAGCAAAGGACCGAAGACAAGTCCGATCAACAACCCCCCGAATAAATTCAATGGTGAATAATTTGTTGTTTGCTTCTTTTTTTTTTTTTTTTTTTTTTTTTTTTAATATGATACTTGTTTCAATATCGATGCTGGAAAGATTTATGTGATTTGATTTTCTATGACGAAAATACAGTCAAAGCTCGTTATAATAGAACTACGTTATAATAGAATCGTTTTGTAAGAGAACTTTTTTTTTGGTCCCGATTTTTATAGTAACTCGCGTTATTAGTTATAACGATAATAAAACGGATATTTAGCATCTAAAGCGCTTAGTTTATAGAAAATGTCTAACACCGAATCTATTAAAAGGAAATCTTTAACAAATGCACAGAAGCGTCAACTATGCCTTGACAAGGAGAAAAAATCCACATCATCAAGTTAGAATTTTCCGAAATACTTGCAATTTAAATTAAGCGAAAGATAGATCTGTATAGTTTTCGATAAAAAAAAAACAGTTGCGGCTGGATAGTTTTATTTTATGATTCTGTCATAATCGTATCAAAGGGGAATAAATTTTACGCTATAATAGAATTACACGTGCAATCACTAAGAAATCCACTATAACAATCATACTAATACACGTTATTATGGAACTCGTGCTATAAGAGAGTTCATGGGTTGTGCCCAACTTTCTATTATAACGAGCTTCATTAAAAATATGTTACGGTTGCGGATTTGTCTATCAAACAGATGTAAATAAGATCGGACCCCTTCTTATTGCAGCAACAAGGCGTTATAATGGCAAGATTGTTTCGTAAGCTGAATTTTAATCATTTTAACTACTCCAAGATGAAAAATCATACAACTACTGCTCAACCAAGATTTTTAAATAATATTATTAGTTTTTGGTGCTTTTACTTAACTGGCCTAGCATTACGTATTGTGTATCTAAAAAAAAGAGCGTAAAAACATATACTGATCGTATGAATGAATACAGGAATGGAGACTTTGACTGTAACACAATTCTCACATGAAATCGGAATAAATGCGTCATGTCAACTTGGACTTAAAGCAGACCTGACGCACATTCTCTTACTCATGAGTTATTCTTCTCACCTTTGTCCAACTTGTGACGTCCTGAGAATTCAACTAAAACTAAAAGAGGATCAGTTGAAAGCGAAAGAGGACCAGCTGAAGGCGAAAGAAGATAAAATATGTCAGTTACAAGAGACTGTGATACAGACACAAAGAGATCTTATTGCTGCTAAGGAAGAAACGTTAATGATAAAGGGACTGCATGAGTTAACACTGAGTATGGAATATGAAGATGCTCCTGTTGTTTGGATTTGGACATTGTATATGGCGTTATTCCAAATAAAATGAGTTATTGAAACGGTGTCGGTATGGAACTGCTTGGTCTAACAACCAACGCGATCTCTAATGGTTTGATCGTTTCAATAATGGATGCCCCGCATTCTTCTGTTCTCATAGACTCCCAATCTCGTCCAGTTTCGTCAAGTACGTCGCGTAGTTTTATGACTGGCTCATTTATTGATTCTGGTACGTATAACAGTGTCATTTGGCGATGGTATGGGTTGCAGCGTTGGAATTAAGTCACTACATAATTGCTTTGGTAGGTAAAACACCTGCCAGTGATACGTCTAGCGAGATAGAATGGGTGACCAGCGAAAATCCAAACCCTAGAGGCAAGCACACTATGTTACCAATTGCGCGCTTTACAATCGAGCTCTCTTACTTTGACTAAATTTTTTGCATGCCATTGGTACAGATGTGATACGAGAACACCGCGCTTTCATAGGAAATGTTGCGCCTGATACTAGTAAACCAAAACTTAAAAGGATACTTGAAGATCAAATAGGAGCGGTGCGCTCTCTCAACATGGTTGTTGATAAGGTAATCTTTTTGATTTATTGTACACGTTTGGGGATACATGATGCACACAGACGCAATGATTGTCGGTTGTGAATTCAATTACTCATTTACTCTGTTCACTCACCTAGCATTGTGCCTTTGCTGAATTTGCAACACGAGAAATTTTCAACATGGCCGTTAGCATTGGATTTGTCGTGGTAGATGGACGTAGATTGAAAATAGAACAAACGAAAGAACAAACGAAATCACAGAGTGTCAGAGATGGGGGTCGAAACAGGAAACGACGATGAATTATATATTAAATGAAAATTAAATCATCACTTAAGATAATGTGACATGTAATGACCATTGGATGAATGCTCAGTCAGGTTTATGGTTTGAACCTTGATAAACGGTCAATACATGATCTTCCGTGTTTGTCACTCTCGTTGCAATGAGTAAATTGTGATTCAAGGGTATCAGTTTATTCAGAGTCTAATGCGCTTACCCAACATCCAAGCAATAGATATATCTTACAATCATATTGTTTATTAATACATTTTATATTCATTTTCACCCCTACAATTTTTCATTACATGTACACCATTGTCATTGTGTTCATATTCGCATTTGACTTTTCGTTACATTCTTGTCACATTTCATAATAAAGGCAATGTTGATACTAACATCGCTGCAATGCAAGGATACTGACTGGAATGTTGGCTGAATATAGCAGGGAAGGAGTGACAAACTCACACTTTATGTTGCTTAATCTGGAAGAAGAACGTGATCAATCATTATTAAGCTATTAAGACTGTTTATCTTGTCTAGTATTCTGCGACTCACCTAAGCAACATCCATTATCCCAAGAGGACCGTTCATATCCATAATAACGACCCGTGCAGTGTCGGCAAATACATCTTTCCACATAATAACAACGGCAGCAAAAACAACAGAATCGACAATAGATGCAGTATTCCACATAGCAATAGTAACAGCGACCGTAGTATCGGCAAAGGAAACAATAACAACAGTAGTGACCACTATTTACGTGACAACATTTCCGTAATGTAGAGTGTATCAGCAAGGGAATTGTTTGTTGCAAGGTTGGATTGGGTGTGGGAGGGTTAATAGGGGCGTGGAATACTTGAGGTTGGATTGGCTGATTAGAGTGATGGTGTTTCGGTGTCAATTTAGGAATTGATTGAAAAGAAGGAAATTGTGGCTTGGTACGTATTAGCATTTGCGGAAGGATGATTGATGAAAGAGATATAAGATATATAAGGAGAAGTAAATATCGAGCGAGATAGGCTGGGACAATATCACCACAACTAATGTCCTCTCCACCAAATAAACGAATGAGATAGTTCGCGTGTTTTTAATAACAAATCAAGGAAAGACGCAAATGTGTCATTGCATAAACGCGTTCCATGCTGACAAAAATCGTCATGGAGCCGTCATTCTCTCTTCACGTGATAATTATATTTCATAATCGTAATTACATTCTCTTCGCCGACAATTCTTCATAAGTGTATTCTCCGATTAATCACGTGCATGAAATACAATCAGCACCACTATTTGAAAGTCGAAAGATGTTCGTTGTCTCTCCCACAGAAGGCGTAGAGACGTATTTAAGCCACAGAGGAAAAGTTTATGTGAATCAGATAGCTGCAAATCTTTCTTCAAACTTTTTTGGCATTTGTTCTTGGAGCCGTTTTGATTCCCATTCCCTTTTCCCAGTCCAAGTAATAACCGTATCTTTTCGGAATGTTTGACTACTTGCAGTCATACGTGAACCAAAACCGAATAACTCATTTACTGGCAGCACGGTCGGTGACACCATGTTCAAGGCACCAATTCGCACGAGCGGTTAACGGAAACTCATATCTTGCAACAAGATTTACTGATAAGCCACCGAATAAGTATGAAAGTTTAATAGGACACACTGGGTGTGTTAATACAGTTGTGTGGAATGAGGCAGGAGACCTCATTCTATCGGGATCAGGTAAGATTGGCTTTAGCATTAGGAAGAGGATTAGGCAGAATGAATGGGATAAGAGAGACCATAATGGTCTTAATTATTAATACCCAAAGTCTCGCTGAGTAATGGTGGAAGATCGTCGTGTATATACAGATCGTTGATCGAAATCTGTGTAATTGAGACTTTAAGATTGAGAAAAATTGGGCATGCTAAATTACTTATGGGAAAATCTATGGAACGAAACAATAAATCCCGTATGATTTGAATGACAGCCCCTTACCCATATTGACATATTCTGTTTCTCGTTCTCTTTCACACATGACTTCACGTTTAGATGACTGTAAACTAAACATTTGGACTCCGTTCACCCATCCGTCACGTTCGCCTTGCCATTCAATCGTATCTGGACACACCGCGAACATTTTTTCGGCACGATTTATGGCCAATACGGGAGACCGTCATATAGTTTCATGTGCAGCAGATGGAATTATACGGTTCACAGATTTGAATAAAGTTACTGATAGCGGAATCGGATGTCCATCACCGCCCTTTAGGTGTCATAGAGATTTAGTGTAAGTGACCAATATTGTGGTTGTAGACGATATTCTAAACAGTGGTATAGAATGAGAAGCATTGGAGTGGTGTTGAAGTTTTTTAACTTTTTAATTAATCACAAACACTTTTTTTTTAAAATCTCATTCCATTTATTCTAACCTGTTCAGCTATGAAGTGATGCCCGATCCTACCGATAGCAACGTTTTCTTTTCCTGCTCAGACGACGGTTGTATAAATCTCTTCGATCTCCGCGTCTCAACCTCATGTACAGTAGATAACTGCGAACGACACGTGTTTATCGATATAAACCAAAGTCGCCCATCTCATCAGTCTCGTATAAACAATGCATCTGATTCCACGTCCAACTCTCAATCCAACTCGCAACCTAACTCGTCATCTTCTACACGACAGGGACAAACAAGCCAATCAACGGATCAGGAGTCATCAAGAAGAAGAGATAGAAGGCGGCGACCGCTAGGATTGTTTACTTATGGAAGCGCTGTCACGGCGATTAGTATTAGACCGGATAATCCCGTTTATCTTGCGGCAGCGTGTTCGGATGAAACAGTCAGGATATACGACAGACGGTTCGTTCGCCCGCCGAGCGAAAATGTATATCATCGGGAAGGACAAGTTTATCAATTTATTCCATCACACCTTAAAAGTCGGCGAAGAGAAGCTGCCAATGGGACCGGAAGACTAAGATCTGCCGCCATCCATTCTCATCCTCACAAGATGACTTCACTCAAATTTGATCCAAATGGTGGTGGTGACTTGTGCGCTAGTTATTCACGAGAGAAAGTATACTTGATTCGTCCGCATGGAGGGAAGTTTGATAAAGTTGTATCGAAGAGAAACGGCGGAATCAGAGTATTGAACAAGGGAAAAGGAAAGGGAATTGATGCTCAAGGATTCCCTGAAAATAGGAACACGTTAGGAGGTCCGAATGATATGGAAGTTGATCTGTATGATATCAGACTCGATATATCCGATAGCGACGACGATGAGAATGGCGGTGTGTTCGCATCTTCTATTAAGAAAGATGCAAACAACTTCATGAGTGAGGACGAGGATACCGTTTCGACTCTATCGCCATCCCCGTCGCACAATGTCACTGCATCTCCAGCAAACGATCGTTTGGCCGACGCGAATGTGAAGATAAAATATCCATCTTCATCTCCTTATTCATCTTCGACTGAAGTTTCCACAAAAATAGACGAAACTGTTTCTACAGCGGAGCTCTCAGATACTCTACTGTTTAAAACATCCTCAACATTGTCACCATTATTAGACGACTTTTACCCTAGCACAACTCAATCGCCATCATTTCCGTTCAGCAGTGTACCTAATCCCATGCCCGATCGTCTTTCTACTTCACCAGCCCACTCGTCTGCCCAGACGCCACTATCTGCCGCCAGCTCATCCGTAGAGAGTTCAAATACTACTACACCGAATATATCTCGATTGGATACGTCAAATTCCGATGACTTTTGGTCGGAGATTGTAATGACAACAGCACCTGATGCCTTGAGGAAAGAGGAGAATGCCGAAGACGCCGAGGATGAAGATGATGACGATGACGATGACGACGACGATGTGAGGAGTTCTGATGATGAGAGTGGAGATTCTTTTGACGGAGAAGCCACGGATGAGGATGTGCTTATGACTTATGATGGGCATTTAAACGAGAGGACTATGGTGGAGTATCTATAGATGTTTGGAGGGTGAACGGCGGAGTATGAAAATAGGGGCTCGAATAATAGTCAAGACGATCGTTTGAAATTGCTAAGTGAAATGAACATTTGATAAATTTATATACATACCTTTATAGTATAATAGTAGAATACAATCGTCTGATTCAGCCTTGCCGCCAACGTGTTTCTAAACCTAAGCGACTCACCGAAACCTCATCGTGTTTCTTTCTATTTAGATAAAAGAAGCCAACTTTTTCGGGGGCCGATCAGAGTACATAATGTCTGGATCAGATGATGGGCGGATCTTTGTATGGGAGAAGTCGACGGGAAAGTTGGTCAATCTTATGATGGGAGACCGTGTAAGTGATACGTGACTCCAGTCTGCGTGACAGTCCTATTTTTTGTCATTACTGTTGTTATTATTATTCTCATTCCTTTCCCTTTTTTTTTTCTCACAATAGCGCGTCGTCAACTGCATACAGCCACACCCATTTTATCCGATTTTGGCAACATCTGGAATAGACTATGACGTGAAACTATGGTACCCAACTGCGGATAGTCCATATAATGTCTCAGAAGCTGAAGAGATTGTAAAGAAGAACAGGGAGCAGTCAAGAGAAAGTGCGTCACCCTTTTTTGGCGAACGAGTTACAGTGCCTGTGCCTGCAAATATGTTTTTCCACTTTTTGTGTAAGTGTTATGCAGACAAAGAGATCATTAGACGCATAGTACTAAATTCAATTTCTTAGTACTCGACAATATTATGGCAGCTACTTTTTGATCACCTGATTAACGTGCATTTGCTTTTATAGCTATGTTGAACGACTCGTTCGATCCATTCTTCGACTCTGTTGATTCAGACTAATGGACTTCGGGACGACATTATAGTAACAATTTCAAGTAAATATCGTTTATTATTTTTTTACCCTAGTTTGTAATTGCGGTATATATTTAAGTTATTATTCCATTCTAGTGTTTATTATAGTGTACCTCTTGTGCCTAGTGCCTATTGTCATGTGGGCTCTTTTCTTAATTTCACCATATTCGCATATGTAAGTTTATCGTTTAATAACTATTTTCTTAGATCACGTTAATTGGCCAATGTTCACGCACATCGGCAGTTCAATCTTTGCGGAAGTGCTGTATATGGATACATTCGTTTATTGTTTATTCACGTTCTTGCTAGGGCGCGATTGAAAATGGTTATAATCATCGTAATAATTGAAAACATGGAGGGAAGTATTGTAGTCTGAAGGCATGACATTTGCCATCTGCCGGTTCCGGAAATACCTCAAGATAGGGGAAGGATATAATTGAAATTCTCAGTTGATCTACGCGCAACTGATCATTCAGCAGGAGAGTATGCATAAACATATTCGTTATAGTCATAAACTGGGATAGTTGTATCACTATCACTTTATTGTTTATTGGAGCACTTCTTGGTCAATTGTACGAAACGTGATTCAAAACGTTAGAGCCACCTAAATGATTTTGACGCAAACTTCATCCAACAGTTATCAAAGTTCCACGGCAGATTGCAACAACCAAAGTTCAATGGTACCCAACCATCAGACTGTAAACACAAGGTTCAGGAGTGTACAGTAAAAGGCACATCATCCCAAACCTTCTGGTATGAGTAGCTTTAGTAAGACAACCATCTCTGTGGCATCATATAACAAACGATACGTGTTATCCGAGAAGACTTTCTTCAATAAAATCTTGATTCTTCAACAATGAATGAAGCTTGGCAACAGAATTTATTGAAGGAAAATATCTTATAATTAAATTTGACGAGACTTCTGTCTTTTAGTAGCGATTATACCGTGACACACACAAATAATAATATCATAATAATATCAATATTCTTTTAATGTATAAACCATATCTGCATCATCTTATTCATAGGAATTTCCAACATACAGCAAGGTTTAGCCGATTCCGGAAACTTGGAAGCCATTCGAGAAATTAACAATTCTTTATCAGCAAAAAATATTAGCCTTTGCGGATACTCAGTTTATAGATTTCAAGCCCTCGTATGGATTCTTTTTCTTCCTATTTTTTGTTACATATCGGCATTCTCCGTGTGAGTGAATTGTTTTTAATGTCTGGCCACTCTTTGAATATTCTAGATAGTTGATCTTCTATTATATGATTACCACTTGGTGTATTGTTGCTACTTCAAAATTCCCCCCTTATTGCTATAGTTATTCCATGTTCTCAAGTCGTCAAGGCATTTTAAGATAAACTCCATGGTGGCCGTTTTATAGATCAACCAAGAGTTTGGTGGAAATACATATGAACGCCTATTTGGTGAGGCATAAAAACCATCATCCATCGATTAGGAACCCACCTTCCCCCATAACAGGTAAAATCCTAAAAATAAATATAAATGGCTTATTATTATACATCCTACGGTCTTTAATAAAATAGCCAGTCTGAAGAATAATAGAAATTGTCACTTCTGAAATATTGTGATTCATCAGTCAAGCTGTAATTCATCATTGATATTTAACTCGAGAGATGGACGAGATATGCAACCTCGGTATTTTCTGCAACTCTTAATTTTATCCTTTTTACAAAACTCGTATCCTAATGCTGACCATTTTGCGAAAAGACTAATCCTTAAATCATTATCGAAATTCTCGAATAGACTGTTAGTCCTTGAAATTTGAAGGTGGAACATTCTGCCATGATAATAACGGTGCATTGTATTTAAGGAGTTCGCGTTTCCAATTTATTGTGATTAGTCCTAATTCTTTTTGTATTTTCTTTGTCTTCCATAGTTAAAGGATTTAAATTTTTTTTTTACAAAAAAGAATTGAGTCATTTAATCTCTTCTTGCCCAATCTATATTTTCAATGTCTTCTTGGGATAAGTTAGAAATAACCATCTTGTTATCTTTTCTCCATTTTTTGCAAATTAAGTTCCAAAAAAGATATTGTTTACTTACAATTTATGTGACATTTTTTGAGGTATGGTAGTTCTTGCTTGTTTACAAAATAAAAGCCAAATCGACCAAAATACACGTTTGATTCGGTTTCAACAGTAACAAAAATGCGATTTGACTCAAAGTGAAAAAGTGTGCCAAATAGGTGTTTCTGTAAAATAAGCATAAAAGACCGGTTTCAACGTGAGCATGGTTCGTCATTTAGCAGAATAGCATCGATACAGTATAATTATTAATGATTGCAGGAGGCGCTAAAATAACTTCTCTGTACAAATTTGAATATGACGAAATCTCCGAATAACGGCATATTACCGTATTAGTGTGAATTCGTGTCAATAGACCCTTTGGAACAAAAATAAGCATACTTTCTTCCATTCCCCGAAACCCTGATTTATAGCGGGGAACATTTATCCATGTTTAGTTGTTTGCATGCGGTTGACATACTTGGCAAATTCCTCGCTGCTCAAACACTCGGATGCTTTAATGGAATTGGCTATTTCAATAGTGTCCCTAATAGAACATTTTGTAAGACAAATTCTCCCATTCATCGCAATTATCACTTCAAAACAGCCGTATTTCTGGCGGAGGTGCGTCCATGTCGGGTGATTTTCGTCCACTAACCTATAAGACCGAGCTATTAGTAACGTCCATAGGCTGATAGCTAGGTAATAGGCATATAATGAGTAATAATCACCTTCTGCACAATCCAAGAGAGCATTTGATCATATATCCCTTCTCTAACACCCCATAACCATCAGCACGGTTAGTCGCAGGATTGATGCATGTCAACTCTGGATCCATATCTTTATTCGCTTCGATTATTCGAGCATACACTAGAGTACCAACCTTTAATAGGAAAAAAAGAGAATGGGCATTGTCGAATAAGCCCGAACGTTTATTATTATTATTATTATTATCATTATATCAAAGACTCGCATGTTAGTTCGGTTGATTCTTCAACTTACTTTCAAGTTTGGTTTAGTTCTCCTGGTAACCTTCTCAAACGCCAAGCCATCGAGGACAGCAGCGTGTGCAGCCCCAATATCAACTCTGTAGTACTCTGATGTCTTTGCTGTTATTATTCCAAGAACATCCTCTTCCGCCGATGGAACGTACTATATATTAGTAACAGAAATAAGTGCCAGCATACTAAGAAGACATCCTATCATCAAGCGGCTATATGATAATGACACAATAGCTGTCGTAGTGAATAACTGAAAGAATCAACGCACTCTAATTATCAATTGAAATCTCACCTACCCGCCTTTGATTACTTTCGACAAACCATTTCGTTTCATTTTCCTTGCTATGAAGGATACCGGCTTTAGTACTCATAATAGAATCTTCATTTTGCATTATCAAACCAGGTCCCAATGTCAGTGATTCCGGATCTATCAGAACAGTAGAATCGCCAGGAAGTACATAATTTGACATTTTGACAGGAACAAATTAAGAACATCACTTATTAATATCAAGACAAATCAAAAACTGTTATGACATATCACCTGATTATGATTCATCAGATGAATAAAATTTTAATTGTAAATTAAATTAAGCAGGAAGAGCATGTTGCCGGCTTCGTTCACAAATGCGTGTAAACATTATGCAAGAGCATTTGGAAATGTAACTTCTCAACGAAGAATTCATATTAAAAGAACGCCAAGAGTCGAAGTGGAATTATTAGAGGACGTTTACAAACTTGGGAGGAAAGGTCTCTCTCGATTCGTCGCAGCTGGAAATTCTATGACCAATATACCCGTTATTTCATATTCATGATTTTGTTGTTTTTTCGCAAACTTTTCCAGGGGATGTCGTGTCGGTTGCAAGAGGTTCGTGCCTTTCTTTTATTGTATATGGCTATTGGTATATCTGTATCTAAGACTGCAATTTTAGGTCACATGAGAGGAACTTTGTTTCCTCAAAGACAGGCTAAATACGTCATGAAGCGCGTTGGGGTTCGTAAAGATCACAGCAAAAAAAATGAACCAGATCCGGAAGAAATGAAATACTTAAAATTTAAGAATATCGTGCGTAGCTTTCACTATTTTTGCAAAAAACTTGTCTTCAAAGGTCCCTAATACTTTCGCCTTGCATGAAATAAGAAATTGCTCCCAGGAATTAAAGAGGTGGATTGTTCTCCGTTGCGATCTCATCAGCTGCAAGTTAATCTTGCAGTGCTTAATCATTTGCCGGACCTAGTATTCAAGAAGATATCAACTGCAACAGAAGAAAATACGCGCGCGATTTCCGGCTCCGTAACCATACAAGATGTGATAGATAAACTCGCACAATACGGTGTCAAATTAGAAAGAGGAAATATAATTTGGCCAATGGGCACAGATGACATTACTCAATCCGGAGAATATCGCTGCGTTTTTGCATTTCCCGAGTTTCGGATGAGAATTGCAAAGAAAATAGTTGTCCGAGGATTAAAGAGTAAGAAACCGGAAAAGAAAACTCGGGTAAAGCTATCAAAGGAAGTTTAATTTCAGAATAAACTTTTCGTTCGAGATATCCAAATTCTGCAACTTTACGCTTTTCGTCTTGGGGAGGGAGGGTATATAAGGTCTAAATTTCCTTAAGGATACTTGATAGCTGATCTGCTGACCAGAGTCGCCGGTTCCTCGTAGATCCGAATCTTTTACAAATTAATATTTAATGCTAGGTGATCTATGTAAAAACTGGGTTAAGGATTATGATTTGCGCCGAGGAAAGCCGCTGTAATGGGGGCCTAATTGTATATTAATTAATATTAGTTTCGCTATGTTTACGACAGCGGATCATTGCCCGAGTTTAGTAAAATAAACAATAACTGCCAAACTTTGTGGGAATAGTTGCGTATTGCTTGTCAGGATACACTAGCTTCAATTACGACCTTTAGGGTAGTTGAATTTTCGTTTCTTGTTTCCTCAAAAATCACCATGCCGCGCGCGGCATTTTGTATATATTTTATATCGTGAATTAAATATGATGAGATCTGAAAAATAATCATGGTCTATGACCGTGCTATTTGGTTAGACTGGCAGGTAAGAAACTAAACCCATAACTATGTGAAACGAAAGACTGCATGGATGGCTCAGCGGAAAAGCAAAATAGAATTACGCGTCATTCGAGTATCCAATTACTTATAAGATAGATAGGGGTAATTTGGCGAATAGGGTAATTTGACGAATTACAGAATTATTATAAATTTTTGATAACGCACGATAATAATAATGGAGTCGACAAGGATCAAAAACAAGAAGATGTATACTTATTAATGTAAAGGCATTTTTCGACTATACAATTACATGCAAAATTGTATATACGTTATATATAATACGTGTCCATTACGTCGTTTAACTATGTGTACATACATTGTACAAATGCTAGGTTAGCAGAAAGAAATGAAGGCTCAAAAAGGCGAGAGACGAAAATAATTTCTTTTTGTAATAGATTCGAATTCGCGCTTTTCGCTTTAAAATCTCGATTTTAAGGACCATTTACGCAACGGCGATTTTTGTACAATTCAATTTTGCAATCCTTTTCTATTTGCATTGCATCTATTATAAATATGTTCTGTTTATTAACTCTGAATATCCAAAGTTATAAACGGGTTAATAAAATTTTCACTTAGTAGGAACTTTAACTTCGCCAAATTACCCCTGTCTGCCTTATGTTGTAAGCAATATTGGGCACGCGCGCGTGATAGACGGAGCCACTTTATTAATGCATTTGTGGTAAAGTGAAGATGGCAAGGCGGTTTCAACGTAGAATTAGAGTTTTACGTTTCTCCTGGTATATCAAGCTGGCCCCACCAAATTGCAATACCGTATTAATATACATACCACATCCACTTTTTTGCGTTCCCTCTTTACATTTGTCTAAAGTAATTCATCTTCACCTGTCCTTCTCGACTCACCGATATGATACTTTGCCGCAATGTCAACGTTCTTCATTCTTTTTCGCGACATATTTTTGGTGAAAGTACCTGAAACGCATTGTGCGAAGGACACGTGAACAATATAATTAAATGCTCTCCATTTAGAAGGAATTCACAGTATAATGTTGTTATCCATTCTGGGTAGACGCGGGTAAGACGTTATTCTCGTTTTCAAGCACTTATTTGACACAATAAATTAGTGGCTTCGGGAAACAAAGGAAGAAGTAGACAGAATGTCTTATGGTAGAAGTTAATAGTAGACTTCAATTTTTCTGAATCTCAGTAGTCTTTATACCATATTCGTAACAAAAAAAATAAAATAAAATAAAATAAAATTCGACAGTCTTTTGCAATGTTCATATAAACTACCCGTTTTATTCACCATAGCATTGGTGGTGTTAAATTAATAAGAATATTTTCTTCAAAATTTTAGAGCTTGCTCAGATTGTTGTATACAAGGTACATGGTTAATTACAGATACAAAAAAAGTGTTCGTTATGCTGTTGTCTTACAAGAACAGAGTAACTATCGCTAGCACTGGGTCGTTATTATTGCATGTTGTGTTGTTGTTACTTGGTGCCGTATTATCAATGGGACTCTCTTTCTAACTTTCGCATATTAAGATACTATGATAACGTGCTGACAGTTTTCTATTGTTATTAAGATACCTATGGTTAGAACGATTTGCTTATTTGTTTTTTCGCCGTTAAGCAAGTTAATAAGCAGTTGGAGGTAATGAAGGCGAAATTCCAGGATTGTATGCATATTAATAGCATTAATTGGAAAGTTTAGTTGGCAGTCTGATGTAAGAAGTCTCAATTGCATATGGTAAGCTTAAAAAGGCATAATAATAATATTAACATCCTTATATTTTGTAATACTATAGCTGTTTATTGTATTATGTATGTATTTTTAGCAGTTTTAATCTGCGCACCACCGCACAAAATGAGTTGGACATTCATAACCGTGTGGATTCGTTGCCTTATATATCGGAAAAAAATTGCAGGTAAGAATTAACATTTGATGTGCAAATAGACTGGCAAATGTTCAAACTAGTAAATTTAAACATTAATGCTCACCAAATAATTCTGGTGATAGTCTTCGGCGTCGTAGAACACACCAGCCGCGACTATCTCAGTTTCGATGTTACTATTTTGATAAAGACTCTTATCACTCAAAGCTCTCTCTCGCACTTGTTCTGTCACTTGCTCGGCGATCTGCTTCTGTTCTTGTGAGTGGTAAAATATTGCCGATCGATATTGAGAACCAATATCATTTCCTTGCCGATATTTGGTGGTTGGATCATGAGTCTTATAGAAGTGTTCGACTAGTGTTGCATATGAAACCTTCTCGGGATCGAACTTGATTTGAATGCTCTCAGCATGTTGAGTGGTGCCACTACAGACCTAGACGGTATGGGTAGCAAATGAAAAACTTTGTAGAGTGACCGATGGCATGATCTTAAACCAAACACGCAACCATGTCACTAATATTTACCTGTTTATAAGTAGGATTTGGCACATCCCCTCCAGTGTATCCAACTCGTGTCTCGATCCCCGCATCCTTAAACTCTTTCTTAAATACCTTCTCGACACCCCTATACATGGAAAACTTTGACATTAGCATTCAATCGAAAATACAAAATCTGTTGACCCGCAACGTACCAGAAGCAACCGGCAGCAAAAGTAGCACTCTCAGTGTTGGGCATTGCTAATTGGCTTAGTTTCGCAGTTAATGGTAAGTTGGTGGCTTTCAAGAAATGAGAAATCTTACGTATACTAAGTAATCGATTGAGGTGTTTGCAAGAAATCATCGACTTCTTCCCTCTGTTTATATAAAGGATCAAATGTCTGACTAATCCAAATCATTTCTTGTAGACAATGATGCAATCATCTCCAGTTATGTATACTCATGTCCATCAATCAATTTACATTCTGAGAGGTGATCGGCCGGTGGGTCACCGGTCATATCCGTATTGGATGATTTGTAAGGCTAGTATTACTATAAACCATCGAGACGTCACTGCATCTAGGTCGATCAAATTGCTAAATATATACATTGATTAAAGTTCAACAGTGACAAGGTTTGAGGATGTGATAGCGAGACAGGGAATTCCAAAAAGACACGCATAATAATGAGCATAGCCTAAACGAAGATCGTGTGGCATGCAGTTCGCCATTAAAGAAATTGTCAGGCGTAAGCTCAGCCGAACTTTTCATTAGCAATACTGGCACAAAACGTATCTTTTGATAGATTCCTCAGAGCATCGGGTATCGATTATGAATTCTAAAACAATGTGCTTACTAATCAAAACATCATGTATTAATAACTAGCATGATCACCGTGGACTACAAGTCCTTAATAGAATTTATACCAACCGTTGCGAATTTTTAAGTTTAAAATTATTAATTATTAATTAAACATGGAATGCGCTCGCCTTCTACAACTATCCCAGTCACCATACTACTTTATCTCTCATTGATTCTACCGAATTAATTAGAGTACTCTTAGAATTTATTCCATATCTTTTTCATGAACTTCCAGCAACACTCAACTCTTTTCTAATTTATTAGAAATTTGTTACAATAATTAACTTTGGACTGCTGATATAATTTGCTTTAAGAACTTTTTGTTATCACGGCATGTACTGTACGCTTGGCATTGTTGTCTTGTCATTTCTATTCGAGAAAATCTTCAAAATTGGTCAGATTGGTCTTTATATTTTTCAGAATGTTTGGCAGATTTGGCTTCATTCATCCTTTAGGTCTCGTCAATCAGTATATATTAAGTTTTTTAAATGAGTTAAATTAAAAGACCAAAGAGAAGAAGTTTTCTTTCGACTGATTGCTCTACACACATAGCGGCTTATTTCTTAGTATTCTTATTTCAATATTGATTAAATACTAAACAGGCGAAATTTCTAAGAACCTCGACGCTTGCTTCCACGTGTATGATATAAGTTTGCGGCAATTCTGTCAAATCTAGACATTATAAAGTAAGATGTGCATGAAGAAACAAACTTTGGAAAAATGAAGTTTTTTTTTTTCATTCATTTTACATAAGCCTCGTGATCAAAAGGGAACACTCGACTAGCAAGAGGTGGGGAAAATTATTGGTCAGTAAAACCTTCACTTTCATTAAGGGTTGCAGTAATATATGATTCGATTAACCCTGTTTATGTCAATGTTTGTCCCAAATAAGCATGCGAAAACTGGAGCTTTTGAAACAGCGTTAATGATAAGTCAAATAAACAAACTTAACTACGCGGTTTTTTGACAAACACCTTATTTACAGCGGTAATAAAACGTCAATAGTATGTAGAGATACATGGGCAAGAGACGCTACTGCGGACGCCATTTTAGTAAGATAATAATATGGTAAACCCTCTATTACCATGCCTTGAAATGGAGGAAAGCATATATTTATATAGGGAAAGTTAGATAATTGACTATTTATTGTTGATTAAAATTTAACATATTCGACATGTTTATTGTTCTACAAATTCTGAGTTTTTTAAGCTTTATTAGCATTATTATTATTATAGCCTCAATGTTATCGCTAGCTTCTTCTTTATAGGTAGTATATTTAATTGTTTTAAATCGGGATAATCCTCAATGATTACTTTGCCAGTATAGCCTTGTTGCACAAAACAAACAGTAGTGATTTTTCTTTTAACACTTGCTAAATTGGCAAAGTCTTCTTGTTCTTGTTTAGCTTTTAACTTTAATCAGTTATTTAGTCAAGAGGGTTTTCGTATTCTCTATCTGTCATAAGAAATGGTTACGTCTTTAATATAATATAATATTTTAAGACATTATGAAAATTATATTGGTTTTGGACAAGTGATATTTTTAAATTTGTCTCTGACAAACGGACGAATATTTTTGTAAAGGTACTCTTGCCGTTTGTAATCTAATGGAGACGGTGTTAGTATTAAAATGAAAAAAGCTCTGATTTCTCTGGTAATTTCCAAAACTCTTGCTTTTCTAGTTTTCAACAAATTATATTCAGTATAAGCACCATTAGCAACCAGCTGGGCTTTGACAACTCCAGGTTGAGCTGCTTCAAATAGAAAACGCTGGTATTTTTGCAGACCATTCAATTTCTTAAAGAAAATCCCCAACACAGAATCAAGATCCAAATATTGAAACCCTTTTCCATGGTCATAACACTGAGCTTTGTTTAATCCCGCTGTACTCGACCTTTTCACAACCTCAACAATATGATCCACGCAATCGACAGTTGTTTTGCGGTATAGTTTTTTAATCAGTCTGAAACTACCATCACACTTGAATTTAGTATGTCCAGGTATCATGAAATTTAATTCGATACTTTCATAATAGCCGCAAATTACTAAATATATGTAAAATCAAATAGTCGCATTGTTTTTATTCTGTCCACCTGCATTATCACAAGTAACTTTTAAATGCTTTTCACCTTTATTCAATCGCTTAATTCCATCAAAAACCATGCTCAGCGTGCCATCAGGACCTTTGCCGACAATTTTGTCTTCATCAAGAACATAATTAATTTGTTCGCGTACTGCTTCATCTTGAATACCAAACAAATGCACTTTACGCGGACTGAGATAATAAATTTTACTTACCTGTTGATCAGAATGGGGCACGTGAACATTTTGTGCCCAATCGTAACTGTAATGAGCAGTAGCGTCAATGCTGCAATAATCAGCTTTACCCCCTGTTACAACGTAATTATCATCTACCAATTTTCTCTGTTGTTCTGCTAATTTCGTATTTTGTTGTAATAATTTCTCTCTAATTTAGCCTTAACTAAATGTTCTTTGAATTTTTTTAGTAAATCTTTCGCTTCTTCTTCCTTACGAGCATTATACTGTAAGCCGTTCCGAAAATGTTATCACGTGTCACATAAATCCGTTCTTAGACTCACGATTTGAATATAAGGTGTTAATTGGTGTCATAATTTGCGGAACGCATCATATTTTAATAATTTCAACGTGCTATCGTTCTCGAGACCTGCAATAAAATCGCGATAGACCGATTTATAACTCGTTTCAGCTGGCAAAAGTGTAAGTGATTGAGTAATGCGATTGACATTTCTACCAGGACTTGGTCCATGAATTTCAGCATAGTTTTCGAGAAAGTTCTTCACAGCGGTAGCAACGGTTATATCAATGGTTATTTTGGTTTTCCATCGCGGCATTTTTTTTACATTACCATGAACACGCGGTATTATACCATTCGTCACTAGGTGATTTCTGACATTTTCGAAGTGAGTGTGACCAATTTCTAACATATTGAGATATGTATTTTGACAGAGGGGCGTATTGCGATCTCAGTAGTAAAACGTTTGCTTATTAGTACGCGTTTTCTTTTTAAGACGTCGGCTGGCGGTTATTTCTCCACCATTCATTGCTTTCAGTTGGACCATTAAAAATATGTCTTGTTTGTATCTAGGGAGAGCTTGAAACGCCTCACGTAACTCGGCAAACTTCTCTCTCGGAATCATTTTTGAGCAGCCACAATTACAACCTATCTCCAGGAAACGCATTGCTTTTTCATATTCAGTGGAGCCATTACATTTTAATTTGTTATTTATCATTTGTGAACGCGATGGGCTAACACCGAGGGTTCATGCTCGGCATCGCTTCATTATGGGCACTGTAGTAGAGGGTATGTGCGAAAAAAAAAGGAACTTTGAGCTGTATAAATACAAGTGAGCGATTGGTTACTCGAAACAGCATGACGACATTCAAAAATTGATCACAAGCCACCAAAACGCCACAGTATCCAGTCCAAGAACTTGCAATTTGAGTAATGGGCAATGGCGCCAAGGCGAATATTGATATAATTGATTTGGCATATTAATGCCAACAAACATATCAGATCAGAATCGTGCCGAGCATTTGCGAGACTATTGAGCCGTAGTTTACTTATTACTATTTACTTTCCGTGATCTTTAAATGCGTTTTAGAGATTTTCTCACACAAAGCCGAGAGATTGTGAAAACGGCTTGGGTTCTGGCAACCTGATCCCAAATAGTAAGTAAACAATTACTTACTTGGTTAGCTTTCTTTTCAGTAGGCTTGGGTAATAAATAAACGATGATGCCGAGCTTCAAAAATAAATCGGCGCTCAATCCAAGACGTTTAATCCAAGACGTTAATATTAATCCAAGATGTTAATCCAAGATTTGCCGAGCTCAAACCATTCCGGAACTATATCTATATTCCAAAACATTCCTAGTCATCACGTCAAGGATTGGCGATAACCAAGCATACGGATATTTCTGCCGAACCGGCATAAAAGAAGTAATCTTGTCGAACATGACGTGAAACTTGAGCGCTTGTGACAACCAAGCCAAGATTACCAAGATACACCTTTTTTAGGTCCTACGTTGAAACCAAGTTAGCTACAGATGTCCTTGAATAACTCGCACTCTTTCCTTGTGTGTATATTTACTAATTTTTATATATTATTTTGTGTATTGTTGTAATATTAATGAAAAATTAATACAATATGCTGCTATACATCAAATAAAGTATAAGGTAAGAAGCCTTGTATTGACTTCATTATTTTGCCAATAATAAGAAACACGGAAATATGAAGAAAAAAAATAATGGAGAAACCACCTATTACTGCTAAAAACTCGCATTCTACAACGTACATCACCTTTTCGCTGATATGATAAATAAAAAGAATAAAAATACATAGAAACAATTTTAATCTCGCGACATTTTATTTTCTTGAATAGAAAGGTATATTAAATCGAGTGCAGAGCACAAGCCTATAGACACGAACTTATGTAAATACAAATTGAAATGATAAACGTTCCTACTTTTTGATAACTTGAAAGACCTCATAGTCATCGACACCGAAATAGCCGCTTTTGTCTCGAATTTTTCCGTAACGAAAGCCGGCAGTGCCGTAATTCGATTTGCATTCATGTGCCTCGTCAATTATTTTGATATCATAAAATCCAAAACATGGTCCCAGTTTCTCGCTGAGTTGTATAGCCTCTTTTGTATTATCTTCCGGGATACGCTCTACATTCGCTTTCCTCAGATCTCTACCGTCACCCATTGAAAATATGAAACTGTCTGAAGTTTCCCGCCACTCTACTTGTTTGGGACTACTCCACCCAATCGGATTGTAGCCTCCTATTACTTCTCGCGGGCCTTTTTTATTATAATCGTCTTGTTTTTTGCCGTCTTGTTTTTTACCATCTTGTTTTTTGCCGTCTTGTTTTTTGCCATCTTGTTTTTTTCCGTCTTGTCTTTTTTCGTCTATTCTCACCACTACGATTGTTGGGCCTTTGTTATCGCACCGACTATGGAATGTTTTTGCTGAAAATCCATCGCGGCTACCTCGGTAGAGCAGCTTGAATCTATAGGACATTGGCATCAACCCTCTTAACGACATTCCCTCCGTAAGAGTCTTTCCAGCTATCCAAAGAGCAATAAGAGAAGCCTGTGAATTGGATATTATATTTGAATCTAATGGTCTGCTCGGCACTAAAAGATTTTCATGTTCTGGCAGCTGATACGGTACTTCAGAGAGGTGTCGGAATAATTCTGTTACTTGCGGATTCTTGTAGAATATTTTCTCGTATGGTTTGACTTTCTCTTGTAAGTGTGTGAGCGAAATCTGAGAGTATCTTATCAACGGAAGGCTTCGATTTAATGTCCGTCTTATTGCAACAAAATCCCTATAACTCCATTCGGATACATTATTTCGTATATTCTGTGTGTTGGCGATAGCCCATTTAATCAAGTAGTCCCAAATTTGGCCCTCTTCAAGGCATAAATTATCGCAAGTGAGAATGTATAGTAATGTACTCTCCTCAACAGATGTGAAATCGTCGGATTCAAAAAACCAACGCGGTTCTGCACATAATGTTCTTATACAATGATCCCGGAGTTTATCACACCAATCTCGTTTCATGCATACATCCAATACTCGGGGAAGATTCTCTTTTACCCACTTTGTTCTTTCTCGAATAATATGTTCCTGTACTGGATAGATGAGTTCTTCTAGTAACATTTCATCAGCAGCTACAAGCAACCCAAACAGGTCCTCTCCTTCATAATCTTTGACGCTTAATGTGCCGCTGTAAATATATCTAAGAAGTACAAAGACAGCCATTAGCGAAAGCGATCTATGGAGACAGGTCTAAGACGGGAACGATCTGTAATTCCGAGCTTAACAGCTTACTTTATTATAATCTCGAATACGTTTGGGGATATGTTCGGCTTTTCAAATATATATTTACCCCCTTGTGTTCTTGACCAACTGCTCGAAAGCGCGGTTCGAAAATACTCGGACCTAGCTCGCAAGACCACTGAGTGTGCCTCAAACGACTTTATTTCAGGCTGTTTGCCAACTTGAATAATTGTATTGAAATCATCAGCCCATTCCAGTAATCTGCTAAAGTTGTCGGAGAGCTGTGTGTAAAAGCTGAGCGACATCTGATTAGGTTGAACTGTGAACTGCAATAAGCTTTGTAAAGAACTAGCTGTATTCATGCAAAGCCATCGATACATTATGGGTGTTTCCATCGTACACAAAAAATTAAGCTGCCGCAGCGTGCACGTGTCATGCATGATGGACACACTCACCTGATTAAATTGTTGATCATTCCCAATATGTAATTTACTGTACATGTGATTAATTAAACGAAGCGTCCGTTTTTAGCGAGAAATAGGTTTGATAACGAAGCTTTTTCTTGGAAACAAGATGGTCAAAGGTATGTGGAAAAATCTTCTATGTGATGATGCTTAATACAAGCTATGGTACAGATGTCTCGACGAACCAGATTTTACTGCACACCGGCTTTTACTGCACACCGGCGATGCACCAGATTTTACTGCACACCGGCTTGATGCACATTATTATCGATCAGTGTGATTGTCCGTAAATGTTTCATGTCTCTCATTTGCGTACTCGCACTCTTATCTATTGATTGGATCGGACTAGCGTTCTTGCGGTAGACCGTTCGAGGAAAAGGTCCAATACAGCTATTATTACAGAGAAGCATGTGGTTGCTTTCAAATTCGCATTTTTCTTTCGCCAACTTTTTAATATACACAGTAAAGTCCGCTTTAACGTAATAGTAACGAAGAGCCAAAAAACTTCGTTAATCACGTGATATTCGTTAAAGTGGTATAGACATCTTTATTACTATTACATGGGGCAGACTCAGACAAAGTGATTATGATGTGGCTGTAAATTGACCAGTGTGACTGATGATGTTTTTAAAAGTAATATTCCGCCTAGGTAATGACTCATGTTGAGTAGTGAGAATATTTCGTAAGAGATATTCGACAGTAACCTCCCTCGACTGTAGTTGAGAGTGTTCATAATTAGTATTGCTGACTAATTCACTGAACCGGAGAGTAACACCGAT